TTTAGATATTCTGAATTTATGCTGTTTGGTGATTGGCGTGCATTTTATAAATCCTCCTCCAGTTATTCTGAAACTGGTTAAGATAATAGGGGTGCTGATACCTCAGATGACACATATGATGTAACTAGGTGCTTGGCAGAAAGGTTTGGCAAGACAGTCGTTTGCTCCAAGGATTATGCGGGCTTTATAGTAAATAGAACCTTGATGCCAATGATAAATGAAGCATTTTATACACTTTACAATGGAGTTGCAACAAAAGAAGACATCGATACAGGAAGGAAACTCGGGACTAACCATCCAATGGGTCCTCTAGAACTAGAGAAGGGATGGCGCAACAAAATTGACACTGAGATAAGTCACTTTGACACTTTCAACATAAAAGTTCAGAAATCTTTGAAGAGACATGGTAAAATCTATTAATCTGCTTCCTATTATAAAATGAACAAATTAAGTATCTGTTTATGATAAGAGTTGCCAGGTAAATGTTTCCTTTCAATTATTCAATTGTTGATGCATTGTTGTACTAAGAAGTAAGGATTGATGTTGTGATAGATGATTTACTTACATATTATGGGTTTATTTAAGTGAAATATCTTTCAAGAATGCTTTAAACATAAAATTGGATAAGGATATACATAAATGGTTATTGGGTGGATCCTCAAAGTTTGAAATTACTCTTTGGTTTTTACTTATCCTCATAAACTAAAGAAGAGTTTAATTTATATATATTTATATAGTTGGTTTCTTAGTGAAATAGGTTTCACACAAATTTTCTTTTATTTGTCAGGTTTACATATTCAGTCCCTTGTATATCATTCTAAGGTTTGGTATCCTCCCCTTCTATTCACATAGTATAGCAAATGACCTTTATGTTTTGCATGGTATACAATGCGATGACTTTTATTATATGTCTATCACTTGTGAGATATTTAGCAAATGTCAAAGTTCTCCTTGTAATATCTACTTGTTTCTACCTTCTAAGTTCTAAATATTAACGGTGAAATATAAAACCCCCAAGTTTGGTAGTAGATAACAAGTAATCTATATATTGTTTGCTTCAATTATGTCTCCTTAACATGCAAATGTGTACACAGTATATTACAGGGGCTATATGTCAATTTTTCAATTCCTTAAAAATTGCAGATTTAAATCCAAAAACCCAATGGCCATTTGTGGTTTCTTCCCTAAAATCCTTCAAATATAATATCACTAAAGTTTACTACCCTCTTTCTTATATATGTCATATAATGGTTAGCTACCCTCTTTCTTAATAGTGTTGCTCGTCAATCGTTATAAGTACCAAAAAGTGAAAACTGGTGTTTATGTTGATCTGAGGTGACTTGAAGTTTGTTGCACATGTGCGATAGTATAGCTTCTTGGGTATTGTTGACTTTTTACACTGTTGAGGTTTATTCCTTCAACCCCCGGGTCCAACACGTAAGCCCAAGGATTTCGAGTGGAGTGTGTGAATAAACTAGCCCAACAAGCAGATAATAGGGATCAAGAAACGGTAAAGGTAGCAAGTAAATGATTAGGTATTATTATCTCTTAATAACTCCCTAATACAATACTTTTCGCTAAGGCTCCGTCGGCCGTTCGTCTCACAAGGCAGTAGAAGTGCTGCGAGTAAGAATGCTATAGCTAGAGTGCTAATAATAGAAAGTTGCCAACCCCTTACAATGAAATAAATGCTTCTATTTATACCCGCCAATGGGCAGGTGGCTATGCTGACGTGGAGGCCTGTGGACCGCTTGTGTCCCAACCACCAAATCTTCAGCATTAAATGCACTTCCCGCCAGAATCTAGGTTTCCCGCCTAAATAATGGGGACGTCCGTCCACCCGGGAAGCGAGCTGGATCGTTCCAAGTGACCCTCAAGAGGTTCCGGCTGTTCGTCTCCTGGCCTTGATGGATTCTCACCATGTGGACTGGGTTTCCTCCGATGACTATGGGCTTGCTCAGGAGACGTTCGTCGTCACCCCTGATGGCCCGTGGTCCTGCTCCTTGCCCCTGCATAGACATTCGTCGGGAGGAGCCGCTGGGCCTGAACTCCCAACGCCAGACGCTCGTCCCTTCCCAAGGAGTATGGGCCTGCGGGCTGGCCTCGTGGTCTGACTGGACGCACGTCTGGTGAAGAAAAGGTTAGTGGGCCGGACCTCGGTTTGGGCCCTTAACCCAACACAAGTCCCCCACTTCTGATGTTCTGAGCATGCGCAGGACATAAGGAAGTATGATCTCTCCTGAGGGTAGGACGTTCGTGACCTGGTACTTGTGTTTATTGCATCAAGTGGAGGCGTATGCTCGTGGTCATGGTGCTTAACAGCTGTCGACGGTTCAGGAAACGAGGTGACGGCTGCTGTAGCGGCGGTGCATTTTCCGAGGAAATGTCATCATTACGCCTTCGCCCCACGCACAGCGCGTGAGCCGGAATACGCTCCCTGCCACGCGTCAGCCCCCCGTTGGCTCCCCCACCGGTGTTTCTCCTATAAATGTCGGGTTTTCCCTCTGGATTAGGGTTCCCGATTTCTGCTCCCTTGCTTCCGAATTTCCGCAGCTCTTCAAGTCTTCTCCCGCTTTCAAGCTCGGCTAACCCCTTTCTAAGGTAACTTCCATCCTCTGCTTCTTTTCCTTGTCTTGAATTTTCGCCGAGATGGTTTTGATGGAGATCTCGTCAAGTTCTGGTTCGGGTTCATCGGGTTCCTCCACGGGCTCCTCTTCTGACTCCGGTTCACGCTCTTCGGGCGAGACTAGCACTTCCGGTAGTTCTGGCTCGGCCCCTACCGTGGGAACTGTTCAGGCCGGGGAAGCCCAAATTGGTGTTGTTAAAATTGTCCCTGGTGAGGAGGGTGCTGATTCGGGGGAACAAGACAACATGGCCCTCGATGTGGTGGACCCCGCGGCCGACGTCGGGGAACAGGAATCCGCTAGTGAGGACGGCCGTCCAGACGGATATGACTCTGGGGTCGAGGCCCAGGATGGTTCCGACATCGAAGTGTTTGATCTTGGGCTAAAGATAGATGTGGAGAGGCATCTATGCCCGATCAAGAATGTCCTCTGCCACGAGCAGATCTTCTCGCCGGTGGCCCTCAACAAACTGAAGGTGTTCTTCCCCCCTCCGTCCGTATACAGCCTTCGTGGCGCAACCCACGTGATGAGGAGACGCCCAGGGATGATTATGGTGCTTCTGGACTCAATCGAGGCTGGGCTGCGCTTCCCTCTTCATCCGTTCTTTGTGGAATTCTTCTGTTGTTACCAGATAGCCCCCGCACAACTCATGCCGAATTCCTATCGGTGGCTCTCCGCCTTCCTAGTCCGTTGCAAGGACAATGGGGTCACCGCCACTTTGGATCTGTTCCATTACTTCTACCGGCTCACCCCCCAAAATTCCGACGGTTTCCTGAGCATCGCAGCCCGTCCGAAGCGGAGGTTGTTCAGCGGGGCACCGAGTTCCATCCATGATTGGAAGAATCGGTTCTTCTTCGTGCGGTATGCGGATGCCCGTCTGCCACTACGGTGGAATGGCTATCCGCCCAAGATAGGGTCCCCGGATCTGACCGACGATCTGGAGGAAGACATCAGGAAGATCTCGACGGGCGGCATTCGGCCCTTAGACGACTTCCTAACTTTTGAGGCACTTGCCGCGGCAGGAATAGGTACCGCCCATACTCTCGGTCATCTTCCCTCCTACGCTCGTCTCGGGGTACTGGGCGGTCCTGACCTCCGAGGTGAGTCATTCCTGACGTTCGTCCATCTAACACATTTCCCACTTTCCTTTCAGGTCTCCCCCCGACCCAAGAACAAATGAATCACGAGAAGCTCCTCAGGACGAGGAAAGGCAAAGGCGCTGCTGCTGATGCTGCCCTTGCCAAGGCCAAGATCGCCCAATCAGCAGATTCTAACTCCTCCGCCTCCCAGGCCGATCGTCGCACGGCGGAGGCGGAACAGCACCTCATCGCCACGGTGATGGCGCAGGGGTCCCAGGCCCCAGTCCTTAATCCTGGCGTTCCTGAGGTTGTGGCACCTCTGCAGGCCGTCCATCCCCATGAGGGAGAGAAGGCGAAGGACAAGAAGCCCAAGAGGCCCCGGGGGGCTTCCTCTTCGGCCCCCGAAGAGCAGGAGTTGATCCCTTCCTCCCTTGGGCGCCCGACTCATGATGTCTTGCAGGAGATTGCCTCTCTGGTCGGCGTGGACATGCCTCCCCGGACGTCTTCGGAGGCCTCCAATGCGGTTCTGGCCGCCGCTCTTCAGGTGAGACTTCGCCTCTTGCTGGGCAGTAGATTTCTGTATTCCGTTGATTTGAAGTCTCATCTGTGACACCACACCCGAACGTCCTTGAAAACTTGATTTTAAAATTCAAAGTTTATGTATTGGATTTCTGATTCCCAAACGATTGTAAAACGATTAATGTTTTACGTAATTAATGATCGATTATTGTACTGTTCGAACTCGTATATAAGTATCGGGCCTTATTAATAAATAAAAGAGCCTAACATTATCTAAATATTAATACATAACGTTTCAAGACAAGTTGAGGAAGGGCGGGCGGCCCAGATATTATTTTGGGCTCAACCCGCTAGAATAGCAAGTATTCGAGAATGGCGTCGTAGGCCCACTCGGGGGCGACCCACACGGCTTGTAGCCTAATAATATGAATGGCAAATGTCAAAATAAGTGATAGGATGATTTGAGAAGAATACAAATGCCTATAACCCCATCTTTGGCATTATTGAGCTAAATAATGGGAGTAGGGTTTTTCTTCTATAATATTCATCATGAAAATTATTGGGATGATCATACACATATTGGAGATCAATAATATGATGTAGAGAGTTGACTTGTTCCAAATAAATTAGAATGAGTACAAAGAAACATCTTATGACAAAGAGATCAAAAGTGAGACCCACCCATGTCTAAAAACATCTCATGGAGACCATACCAATTCATTTCACTCCACACAACTTATCCACCCTTATTGAAGGGTCTTGGACACTCCCTTAAGCCCCTCATTCGAACTCCCAAGGATAAGGGAGAAAGAGAGAGCCACACAACCAAGAAAGCAAGAGGAAGGGGAAGCTGCCGCAGGTTCGTTTTCCAGTGCGTAAGGTTACTTGTTTGCTTCATATCTCGAGTTATACACATCCAAATAAGGCGTGCGAGATACCCACAGAAAGCTCTCAAGACGAGGAATCCGTGAAGGTCTGGTTTGCATCAATCGGAGTAGTGGAAGGCTTTCAAATCGTCCGAGCAAAACACAACCTCGCGGAATACGTTTTTGTATTCAAAGTAAGTTTGAATCCAAAACCTTCCTCTCTATTGTCTAAACCATATAAATGATTGAAGAACTATTATACACTGATTGAAGTGTATAAAATGTTATTATAAAGTGACTTTAATTGTTGGAAAAGTTAGATACTAATCTAGACAAAACCTTGAAAGGTTAGGGAACGATTTCGTCGGGAAACACCCGTTCTAGGGACTGTTTTTGTGTCTTCGGTTAGGAGTTGAACTAGCACTTTGAAGAGGCTGTTTAACACTCAATTCCAAGCAAGGAATCAGTCCTCAATCTTTCTTGGCCGAGGCTTTGGTCATTGGATCGAGAAGGAAAGATTTAAAGCTCATTTGAGGTGAGGATGGCTGACTATATTGCTTATAATTTTTGGGTCAATTTCGTAAGATTACCTAAAGTATCTAAATGTGATTTTCATGGATTGTTAATGATTAATAATGCCTAAATGGGAATACCATTCCTTATGAGTAATTGAGGTATAATATGCAAATTGCGAATGAATTGAGTATGGATATGTGATTATAAGTATGATGGCATGATAGTTGAGTGAACTATGAATATGGTGATAAAATATACCTTGTTTCATGTAAGAATTCATGAACGGGTAAAAGTGATATTTTTATATTGGGAAGTGATTATATTTGAATTGGAAGATAAATTGAAATACACGGTGTGTCTATGGATTGAGAACTTGGTTGTTCTAAATTTATTCAACTAGTATTGAAATACTAGCCGAGATGTTAATATGAGAAACAATAGATTAACCCAATGAATTGGGTTGTGAGAAATTATACCTTGAGTAGTCCTAAGAGATACTTTAAGGTCGAGATGTGAAAGTTCTAGGTATAATAGGAGTAGGCCCCAAAGGCTACTCAATCTAAACCGATTCTAGGCATAGGAATTGCTTAGGGGTTGATTAACGTGACTAAGAGCGGGGCTCTAGCATGTTGAAATGGTAACTAAGAGCGGGGCTCTAGCACAATGTAGATGGACTAAGAGCGGGGCTCTAGCCGATGTAAGTCAACTAAGAGCGGGGCTCTAGAAAAATGTAGATGGACTAAGAGCGGGGCTCTAGCCAATGTAAATTAACTAAGAGCGGGGCTCTAGTATAGTGTAAATGGACTAAGAGCGGGGCTCTAGCCAATGTAGACAAATTAGGAGCGGGGCTCTAATATGATGTAGGGAGACTAGGAGCAAGGCTCTAGCACAATGTAGGGAGATTAAGAGCATGGCTCTAGCATGATATAGTAATATAACCGAGCGAGGTTCTATGATGTTTATTTTACGTAATAGGGAAATGCCCTATGACTATGAATACAAATTTACAGGAGGTTTATGACATTCGTGACCAATAGTCACGGGGGAAAAGGGGGATGGACTTTCAAAACACATATGGGCCTACGGGCCGACTACTTGACTATACATACAAAGTAAGTATATTTCCAAAGAGGGTAACCAAGGGTTATGGCCTATGATATAATATCACTCTATTTGAGGGTCTTGGAAATTGAAACATTGATTATACTTAGTATAGTTGTCATTGTACTTGTCAAATGCTTCCAAGTACTGACCTCCCCTTCACGGGGGAGGCCACCTCACAGTTTCAGGTAGAACTTGAAGGGTGCTACCATTGCCCGTTGCTCGGGAGATCCAAGGAGAGGAGACGTGGTTCGTGTTTCCTCCATATCCGTTTTAAAAACAATTATATTTAATGCTCATGGATACTATTTTCTGAATAATTATTTGGGGGCTTGTATGCCCGTGTTTGCCACGTGTGGCTCGGATATTTATATTAATGTTTCCGCTGCTTGAATTAAATGTTTTACATTATGATTGTTTACGGATGTACTATTGTGATTGATATTCAAGACGCCTAGTATAGTATGGATGAGTTGGACTGCGGTTGACTATTCGTACTGTACGGCGGGTTGTTGACGTGTCCGGTAGGTCCGGGGCGTGACAATTTAATTGGTATCAGAGCCTTAGTCCGTAAACTTCATAATGAAGCTTCAAAATTCCTTTTTGAAAATGATTTTGAAAACCATGAGCATAAAGTTTTGTACTTAGAGAACTTTTGGTACTTAAGTTGCAAGGTCTCTAATTGTTAAGATGGTACCCTTAACAATTGGTATGACGGTGATTTGAGCCAAAGGATGTCTTTAGGTGCCTATCCGTCATTCGACATTTGATACGGGTCTAATGACTCATTCTCAATTGCTTTCAGAGATGGAACGTACCGAGGAGGTAACTAGGAGGAACCCGACTGGCCGTGTACCGGGTGGGTCCGAACGCGGCAGCCGGGGGTCCACAAGAGTGTCCAGGGGACAGGGCTGTGCAGGCCACTCACTGACCGTGAACGACGGTCATGTGGAAACGATTGATGAGCAGTATGAGTCCGAAGAGGACTTAACTTATCGGCCAGAAACTGAGCCGGTAGAGACCCCTTATGAAGGGGAGGATGATGACGTTAGTGACGAGGAGGAGAATGACTCCTTGGCAAGAATTGAGGCGCTGCTCCAACAATACCACCGAGAGCGGGAGGAGAGGAGACAACGCCGAAGGCGCCGAGCGGGGCAACCTTCGGGCATGGCTTCAAGAAGAGGAAGTCATGGTACTTCTAGAGTTCATGTTGAACCACATGGAGGCCAATTTGATGGAGGTCCAACCATCAGGATCTCCAAATTCATCAAAGAAGCGAGAGATTTGGGATGTAAACCGTTTGATGGAACGGGAGACATCTCCGTTGCGGCCGAATGGATCAAAAGATTCAACGAAGCGGCCCTTGACATGCAGCTGCCACCACACATGAAGATGAGAGTGGCAACAAGATTGCTTGAAGGCATGGCATCCACGTGGTGGGATGGAGTTAAAGGAAAATACGGCGAGGCCGTCACTTGGGAGAATTTTCGGCAAGAGTTCTTCAGCCAATACTACTCCGACTTCGAGGTGAATATGAAGAGGAGAGAGTATACAAACTTGACCCAAGGGGGCGCATGCACGGTGAAGGAACTTGAGCACAAGTTCAGAAAGCTTGCCGAATTCATACCTGAGTACATATGTGACGAGAACCGGATGGTGAACCACTTTTGGGATGCTCTAGACTTGGAGATACGTGAGAGGGCAACACAATTGCCTGACATGACTTTCGCCCAAGTGGTTGACCAGGGCCTCAAGGGAGAAAAACAGTGGGAGGAAAGGAAGAAGAGAAACGCCGAGGAGGCGAAGAGAAGGAAATGGGAAAGCCATGACACCCAAGGTTCTAGCAAAAGGGGGAACCACGGGGGAGGAGAATCATTTATGACATCCGCAACACCATCTCGAGGAAACTCAAGCATGGGAGGACAACACTCGGGGTCATACGCCTCGACGATGCCAAGGTGTCGCAACTGCAAGAAGAACCACACGGGCACGTGTCGCGATCCCCCTAAATGCTATCAATGTGGGGAGGCAGGACACATGAAAATGGATTGCCCTCAAATTGGTAAAAACCGGGGATCGAGACTGAGTGGTGCAACCACGGCTAGTAGGAACCGGGATAGGGCACCTCATGCAAGCATAGGGCATGGTGGAGCTAGCACAAGCAACGCACCATCGATGAACCAAGGAAGGACCCAGGCTAGGGTCTACGCAATGACGGAGGCGGATGCTCAAGCTAACCCGGATTCCGTTGCAGGTATTACCTTTTGTATACTTATGTTTTACCCTTGATTAGTCCATAAATTGAGGTTGCTAGTCGTTGGGATCATTGCACGAAGCTTTGGGGTCAAACGGAGCGAAATCGGGCGAAAGACGGCTGATTTCCGCCAACGCACACCAGGCTGGACCATACGCACGGCCGTGCGTTGTCCGTGCGTTGGTCCGTGCGTTGGTGGCAGTAGCAACCCGGGAAGAAATTGCTATACGCACGGCCGTGCGTTGTCCGTGCGTTGGTCCGTGCGTTGGTGGCAGTAGCAACCGGGAAGAAATTGCTATACGCACGGACGTGCGTTGTCCGTGCGTTGGTCCGTGCGTTGGTGGCAGTAGCTCCGTTTTGAGGTTATAAGACACGCACGCCGTGCGTACCTCCTAGGCACGCCGTGCGTACCTCCTGGGCAGCCCAAAGTCGACTTTTTCGCGCCGTATTGCAACGTTAAGACCTTTTCTTGATCCCTAACATGCGTGTGAACATTGTAACCTTCTATAAATGAGTAGGGAGGGTAGGAAAAAATGTCTTACATGGTTCATGAATGTAGGGACGCTAAAGATTAATGGGAAGGATGCGCGAATCCTTACCGATACCGGGGCGCAACGTTCATTTGTGAATGAAGCGTTCGCCAAGAGGTTGGGGGTGCAATCCGCACCATTGATGCAAACCTTAGTGGTATCAACACCACTAGGAGATGACGTGGAAAGAACTTGTTATTATCCATCTTGTGGGGTGGAGGTTAATGGTCAAACCTTGACGTGTGACTTCGTACCGCTGGGCATGATTGAATTCGATGCAATCCTAGGGATGGATTGGCTAGAAAGGAACCATGCTAGGGTAGATTGCTACACGAAGGTTCTTGAACTCGAAGGCAATGATGGGGAGACCCTACGCTTCGAGGGCGATCGAGGGAGATCAAATAGCTGTATCATATCCGCCGTGAGAGCGATAAGTATGATGAGAAAGGGATGTCACGCATATCTAGCATACGTGGTTGACAAAACCAAAGAGGAAACGAACGTCGATGATGTGAGGGTGGTTTGTAAGTATCCGGATGTCTTCCCTAAAGACCTACCGGGGCTGCCACCTGACAGGGAGATTGAATTTGTGATCGAGGTCGAGCCTGGTACCAAACCAATCTCCATACCGCCATACCGTATGGCACCCGCTGAACTTAACGAGTTGAAAACCCAATTGCAAGAGCTTTTGGATAACGGTTTCATTAGACCAAGCCACTCCCCGTGGGGAGCACCAGTTCTTTTTGTGAAAAAGAAAGATGGGACACTTCGAATGTGTATTGACTATCGTCAACTGAACAAGGTCACAATCAAGAATAGGTATCCTTTGCCTAGAATTGATGACTTGTTTGACCAACTACGAGGGGCAACCGTGTTTTCGAAGATTGACTTGAGGTCGGGGTACCATCAATTGAAGATTAAGGAAGATGACATACCAAAGAGTGCTTTCCGCACAAGGTATGGGCATTTTGAATTCCTTGTTATGTCGTTTGGGCTAACAAACGCCCCGGCGGCATTCATGGACTTGATGAACCGAGTATTTCATAAATACTTGGACCGATTCGTGATTGTGTTCATAGATGACATCTTGATTTACTCAAAGAGTGAAGAAGAGCATGAAGAGCACTTGATACTTGTTCTTGAGACACTACGGGAGAAGCAACTTTATGCCAAATTTTCTAAATGTGAATTTTGGCTAAAGGAAATCGGCCTTCTCGGGCACGTGGTTTCGGGATCGGGAATTGCTGTTGATAACAAGAAGATAGAAGCCATTACCGAATGGGAGAGACCAAAGAACGTCAAGGAAATTCGTGGTTCCCTTGGGTTAGCAGGCTACTACAGGAAGTTCGTGGAGAAACTCTCCGTTTTGGCATCACCATTGACAAAGCTCACTCTTAAAGGAGCTAAGTTTGTATGGGATGACAAATATGAGAAGGAGTTCATTGAACTAAAGGAGAGATTGACCGAGGCACCGGTACTTGCATTACCCAAACAGGGTATGGGGTACGATGTCTATTGTGACGCGAGCATCCAAGGGCTTGGATGGGTGTTGATGCAGGAGGGGAGGGTAAATACCTATGCTTCACGACAGTTGAAGAAGCAGGAGGTGAATTACCCTACCCATGATCTAGAGCTGGGAGCAGTGGTGTTTGCACTGAAAATTTGGAGACATTATCTCTACGGAGAGACATGTCACATATATACTAATCATAAGAACTTGAAGTATGTGTTTACTCAGAAAGAGTTAAAACATGAGACAGAGAGGGTGGATGGAGTTGATAAAGGACTACCATCTAGTTATTGAGTACCATCCAGGTAAGGCAAACATTGTAGCAGATGCCCTCAGTCGGAAGAGTTGTCTGGGGCATTGTCGACTTGTTTGAGGGCATTGAGGGGAACTACGCTGTGCAACCAATCAAGGTCACCAATAGAAAAGCGAAGAAACTGAGGAGCAAAGAGGTCCCAATGGTTAAAGTACTTTGGAAGAGCGATCAGGTCGAAGGGGAGACATGGGAAACAGAGGCTTTGATGAGGAAGCAGTATGCTTTCCTATTCGAGTAGAGCTGTGAATTTCGGGGACGAAATTCCTGTTAAGGGGGGGTGAACTTGTGACACCACACCCGAACGTCCTTGAAAACTTGATTTTAAAATTCAAAGTTTATGTATTGGATTTCTGATTCCCAAACGATTGTAAAACGATTAATGTTTTACGTAATTAATGATCGATTATTGTACTGTTCGAACTCGTATATAAGTATCGGGCCTTATTAATAAATAAAAGAGCCTAACATTATCTAAATATTAATACATAACGTTTCAAGACAAGTTGAGGAAGGGCGGGCGGCCCAGATATTATTTTGGGCTCAACCCGCTAGAATAGCAAGTATTCGAGAATGGCGTCGTAGGCCCACTCGGGGGCGACCCACACGGCTTGTAGCCTAATAATATGAATGGCAAATGTCAAAATAAGTGATAGGATGATTTGAGAAGAATACAAATGCCTATAACCCCATCTTTGGCATTATTGAGCTAAATAATGGGAGTAGGGTTTTTCTTCTATAATATTCATCATGAAAATTATTGGGATGATCATACACATATTGGAGATCAATAATATGATGTAGAGAGTTGACTTGTTCCAAATAAATTAGAATGAGTACAAAGAAACATCTTATGACAAAGAGATCAAAAGTGAGACCCACCCATGTCTAAAAACATCTCATGGAGACCATACCAATTCATTTCACTCCACACAACTTATCCACCCTTATTGAAGGGTCTTGGACACTCCCTTAAGCCCCTCATTCGAACTCCCAAGGATAAGGGAGAAAGAGAGAGCCACACAACCAAGAAAGCAAGAGGAAGGGGAAGCTGCCGCAGGTTCGTTTTCCAGTGCGTAAGGTTACTTGTTTGCTTCATATCTCGAGTTATACACATCCAAATAAGGCGTGCGAGATACCCACAGAAAGCTCTCAAGACGAGGAATCCGTGAAGGTCTGGTTTGCATCAATCGGAGTAGTGGAAGGCTTTCAAATCGTCCGAGCAAAACACAACCTCGCGGAATACGTTTTTGTATTCAAAGTAAGTTTGAATCCAAAACCTTCCTCTCTATTGTCTAAACCATATAAATGATTGAAGAACTATTATACACTGATTGAAGTGTATAAAATGTTATTATAAAGTGACTTTAATTGTTGGAAAAGTTAGATACTAATCTAGACAAAACCTTGAAAGGTTAGGGAACGATTTCGTCGGGAAACACCCGTTCTAGGGACTGTTTTTGTGTCTTCGGTTAGGAGTTGAACTAGCACTTTGAAGAGGCTGTTTAACACTCAATTCCAAGCAAGGAATCAGTCCTCAATCTTTCTTGGCCGAGGCTTTGGTCATTGGATCGAGAAGGAAAGATTTAAAGCTCATTTGAGGTGAGGATGGCTGACTATATTGCTTATAATTTTTGGGTCAATTTCGTAAGATTACCTAAAGTATCTAAATGTGATTTTCATGGATTGTTAATGATTAATAATGCCTAAATGGGAATACCATTCCTTATGAGTAATTGAGGTATAATATGCAAATTGCGAATGAATTGAGTATGGATATGTGATTATAAGTATGATGGCATGATAGTTGAGTGAACTATGAATATGGTGATAAAATATACCTTGTTTCATGTAAGAATTCATGAACGGGTAAAAGTGATATTTTTATATTGGGAAGTGATTATATTTGAATTGGAAGATAAATTGAAATACACGGTGTGTCTATGGATTGAGAACTTGGTTGTTCTAAATTTATTCAACTAGTATTGAAATACTAGCCGAGATGTTAATATGAGAAACAATAGATTAACCCAATGAATTGGGTTGTGAGAAATTATACCTTGAGTAGTCCTAAGAGATACTTTAAGGTCGAGATGTGAAAGTTCTAGGTATAATAGGAGTAGGCCCCAAAGGCTACTCAATCTAAACCGATTCTAGGCATAGGAATTGCTTAGGGGTTGATTAACGTGACTAAGAGCGGGGCTCTAGCATGTTGAAATGGTAACTAAGAGCGGGGCTCTAGCACAATGTAGATGGACTAAGAGCGGGGCTCTAGCCGATGTAAGTCAACTAAGAGCGGGGCTCTAGAAAAATGTAGATGGACTAAGAGCGGGGCTCTAGCCAATGTAAATTAACTAAGAGCGGGGCTCTAGTATAGTGTAAATGGACTAAGAGCGGGGCTCTAGCCAATGTAGACAAATTAGGAGCGGGGCTCTAATATGATGTAGGGAGACTAGGAGCAAGGCTCTAGCACAATGTAGGGAGATTAAGAGCATGGCTCTAGCATGATATAGTAATATAACCGAGCGAGGTTCTATGATGTTTATTTTACGTAATAGGGAAATGCCCTATGACTATGAATACAAATTTACAGGAGGTTTATGACATTCGTGACCAATAGTCACGGGGGAAAAGGGGGATGGACTTTCAAAACACATATGGGCCTACGGGCCGACTACTTGACTATACATACAAAGTAAGTATATTTCCAAAGAGGGTAACCAAGGGTTATGGCCTATGATATAATATCACTCTATTTGAGGGTCTTGGAAATTGAAACATTGATTATACTTAGTATAGTTGTCATTGTACTTGTCAAATGCTTCCAAGTACTGACCTCCCCTTCACGGGGGAGGCCACCTCACAGTTTCAGGTAGAACTTGAAGGGTGCTACCATTGCCCGTTGCTCGGGAGATCCAAGGAGAGGAGACGTGGTTCGTGTTTCCTCCATATCCGTTTTAAAAACAATTATATTTAATGCTCATGGATACTATTTTCTGAATAATTATTTGGGGGCTTGTATGCCCGTGTTTGCCACGTGTGGCTCGGATATTTATATTAATGTTTCCGCTGCTTGAATTAAATGTTTTACATTATGATTGTTTACGGATGTACTATTGTGATTGATATTCAAGACGCCTAGTATAGTATGGATGAGTTGGACTGCGGTTGACTATTCGTACTGTACGGCGGGTTGTTGACGTGTCCGGTAGGTCCGGGGCGTGACACATCCCCTGTGTCTCTTTTGTAGGTCGGACTCTCTACGCTGCAGGCCGAGGCTGCTCGGGATGCCGATGCCCTTCAGGCCAAAAATAAGGCAGATGCGGCCCTGAAGAAGGCGAGAGAGGCCGCTCGTCTTCAGGAGAAGGAGCTGACGGCCAAGGACAAAGAACTGCAGGCCGCCCTGAAGGTAGCCCGCGAGTCCTCCGCGAAGCTCGCGGTTCTGGAGAGGGCCGGGTTCAAGCTCGTCCCAGCTCTCCCTGCTCCCAAGGACGAGGCCCCTGAATGGCTCGTCGATGATACCGGGTATCATAACTCTGGGGCTTTCATGATCGCCGCCCAGAGGTATCTCGGCGGTGCTTTCGGCGATGTATTCGCCGCCGAGCTGCAGAAGCGTGCGCCGAAGGACCGGCTCAAGTTCGGGGTCCAGGTCCTGGAGAGTGCCCCCCTGGCCGAGAAGTTCCTGTATGATGTTGGGGATAGCTCCTTTGTCATCGGCTACAACGAGGGGGTAAAGGCCACATTGCCGGTCTTCGCCGCTCTTCAGGGTCCCGGATTCGATCTGGCCCAGCACACCACGGACCCGGAGTTGATACGGGCAGTGGGCAAGCTGGAGAGGGACGCCCGGCGGGAAGAAGCCAAAGCCAGGGGTGAAGTTCCGGAGCCTCCGACCCCCGAGCCCGAGCCCGAAGAGGAAGAAGAGACCGTTCCTGGGGGGTCCCGGCCTGTTTCCCCAAATTTTGTTTAATGTAGCCTGTAATTTCTTCATTTTGACTATGTACTTATCCGGCCAGTAGAGCCGAGGAATACACAACTTTTTTGCCCCATCATTGTCTCTACGTTCATAACTCTTCCCGCTTTCTTTTATTGTTAGTAGCATTTTGCCATTATGGAATATAGCCCAAGTTTGTGAGGACGTTCGTGCCCATAATTCACTCCTGTACCCCAATCTCTCGAGATACATTCGTATGCTTGGGAGCTGACCCTGCATGCGTAATCCCGGATCGGAGTTGGTGGAGACGTTCGTCACGTGGTTATAGGCACAACCATCCGTGACGTTCGCCTGTGCAGCTAGATGTGGGGATACGAACGCACTCCCCAGGAACAATGCCTTGGTAGAGAAGTCCGTCGCGTTAAGAACAGCATGACCTTTTACGCCTTGTGCTTAAACCAGATACCGTTCGCGGACGTATCTAGAGAGGTTTTGGTCTGGTCCCCCTCTCCTTCTGTTCATTTCTTTACATTTTAATAAAATCTGGCAAATGTTCCCCGGCATTTGCCCCACTGATTTTGGTGGTTTGCCTTCCGGGTCAAAAAAAAAAAAAAAAAAAAAAAAAAAAAAAAAGATACCGTTCGCGGACGTTCGTCTGGTTGGGCCCGCGTTTCAGTTTTGTGAAGCATGGAAACACGCACGTCTTCCTTGGAACAGCAGGACCAGATCCCGCGAATATGCACGTCTTTCCGTGAATAGCCTGTGGGTGCGGTCCCTGTGTGCCCCTATGGGGGACGCTCGTGGCATTAAACCGGCTTCCTTCGCGGTGGTTGTGGGGTGGTAACATCGAGGTGCCTTTAATGCCGCGGTAGGTACCGGTATCCAGGGGCCACGTGTTCCACCGTGGTTGGTGCGATCCCGCGGTGCTGTCTATAAGTACCCAAGGTCTCGCGAATTCTCCATTTGCCTCATCCCTAGCTCTTGTGCTGCGCAACCACTTTCTCTCTCTAGCTTTTCTCGGCGCTGCCTCAGTCCCCAACACCCGTAGGTACCGAACGTCGTCATGTCTTTGCCTATGCTGGGACCCCAAACCATTGATTCAAGGATCCAAAACAGCTCGTCGACCTCCGGGGATAGGTTTGACGATGGGTGCTCCTCTGGTGATGATCTAGAATTCTATGAGCGGGGTATGCCACCATGGCCCCCCCGACATCACCTGAATTTTTCTGGCGTTCGTCGTCAGCGCCAGCGTCTTTTGAACGCCGATCGTCGGTTGATAAGCCAATGGTTCCTTCCCCCAAGGGGTTATGACGATCGTCGTCTGCGCAACCCAATGCGCCATCAGCCCGGCTATGTGGTGGTCCATTTAGACTCCGTTATAGCCGGTCTCCTTTTCCCCCTCCATAGCTTCCATATAGAGCTTTTTAGGAGCCTCAGAGTGGCGCCTGCTCAGTTCGTCCCCGCTGCCTATAGGATCATTGCGGGTTTTATAATTCGGTGTCACAGTGTTGACGTGACCCCTACCGTCGACTTATTGCATCATTTCTTCCGGTTATCCCCCTTTGGACGTACGGGGTACTTAACCCTCATCGCGCGTTCGTCCATGGGTCTGTTCTCAAACAACGCCGGGAACCCGGACGGCTGGGAGGAACGGTTCTTCCTCGCCGAAGTAGGCTCCCCGATGCCATTCTCTGATAGGTGGAACGCCTATCCGGTGAAGTCCATCCCGCCGCCTATGACGGATGAGGAGCTTGGCTATGCCAAGCGCATAGCTGGTCTTGGCATCCAGAACCTCCGGTCGCTGGTGGCCGAACCTTTCAAGGCTCGGGCCGGACTAGGTGCGTCTGTTTGTACTTGCATTGCCCTATCATCTTCTAATTGTTATGGTTCTGAACGTCTTGGTTTTCTTCCTGCAGGAGTTTTTCCGTCTACGTCATCCATGGGACGTGCCAACGTTGTTCCGCATGCCCATGTCCGCGAAAACGAGGACGAAGCTAAGGGAAGGAAGCCGCTCGTCCCCAAGATTGAGTCTCGGGTAAGCAGGAAGCGATCGGACGATGCGTCAGAGGCCGGAGCTTCAAAGAGGCCGCGCAATGATGGTACTGCCTCTAAAGCCATCATAGTGGCTGATGACTCCGATGGTGAGCCTGGGAGTCCCTTGAAGCGGAGACCCTCCTCCCGGAACAAGCCCCCTGTCTCCCCTCCGGCCAACTCTGAGGTTCGTCGACTTCGGAATGAAGATGTCCATGCTACCAAGGGTTCTGACGATGCTCGTCCCCCTTCGCCTCCAGAAACCAACGGGTCCTCCCTTGGCCTTATCGAATTCTCCGGGGTTGGCCCTCGCAAGGAGTCGATGATGCTCTTCGGCCAGACCGCGTCTTCGATCTGGTGCAGCCTCAACCTCAAGGTCCCCCAAGATTTCGCTGCCCAGGAGGCTCCTGAGGATCTCCTGGAGTGTGGGCAGAGCACCCTTGACAAGGCCGGGCTGTATTTCCACAGGGCTCGGATGGCCTTTGAGCATCAGGGCAAGGAGATGGCTCGGGTGCGGGCTGAGTGCGATGCCCTCTTGAAGAACGCCAAAGGCAGGGCCGGAACACTTCAAGAAAAGGCCGATGCCTATGACAAGCTCGTCCAGGAGAGCCTTTCTCAGAAAGAGCTTCTTAGGAAACAGGAGGCCGAGCTTGTGGACCTTCGCAGCCGGCTGTGGGCTGTGGAACAGGCAAAGGTGGAAATCCGCCGTACGAGTGTGGATAATCATGTCCCCATCTATGAGGCCGACGTTTCAAAGATCAAGGAATCTGGTTCCATTGAGTTCCAGAAGTCCAAAGCCTACACTGGTGCCATTCATACCATGGCCATGAGGTTCCTTCCGAGGCTCGTCGGTGAGTTTTTGGCCACTTGCCCGGACCCTTATCTGGATGGCGTCAAGTTGCTCCAGGCCACTCCCACTGGGGAACGCTTCCTCGATGATCTTGCCGACGATACTTATCTTAAGGGTATGGTCGGCCTCGTGGCAGAGAATCTCCCGGTCTTCGAGCGTCACTTTGGGGCTCCTTTTGATCCTGCGGCAGCTGGCTTCGATTCCCTGATGGTAGACGCCCATAAAGGGGCCCTTGAACTGCTGAGGGAGCGTAAGGAGCGTGAAGAAGCTGAGGCCAGGGAAAAAGCCAAGCAGGTCCCCTTTACGGCCCCAACCCCGGACGCTGGCCAAACTTGATTCTCCGCTCATAGTCTGTAATTTACACTGTAATTTACATCACACATTGTACTTTCCGGTCATCAGTACCGAAGAATAAAAATCATTGTTTGTTCCATGTTCGTCTAACATTCCTTGCTCCATTCCTCTTTTTTTTTTTTTTTTTGGAGTCTTTTTATCAGTCTTTGTCCTTCCCTAGCTTCGTGGGTACTTGTCTCCTGGTTTCGCAGGAGACGTTCGCCATCCCTGCCTTGAGAAAAAACAGGTTTATCCACGTCGGGATTCCCTTTCTCCGTTCGTCCCCAGCCGCGAACTACTAGTCTTCTGGCTTCGCAGAAGGCTTTTGTCATGCGCTCATCAGGGGGAGGAACTAGGCTTCGTTCGTCCTTGTCGTGGTCCTAATCTTCTTACTTCGAAGAAGACGTTCGGTCATCCAACGATCGCAAGGAGGTCACTGGTTTATCCACGTCGGGATTCCCTGCTTCGTCGTCCCATGCTCGTGGCCCTACTAGCCTTCTGCTTTGGCAGAAGGTGTTCATCGATCCACGGAAAATGGGAGGAACTGGTTTGCCAACGCAAAAGGTGTCTCGCCGGTTGCCGTCCTTGGGGTTGTTCTGTACGTCCAGAGTACGTAATTGAGCTGCTCCGGCCAGGTGGACGCGTAATCCTCCAATTTCTTTTTAACCCCATCCATGATGGTCCGGTTCATGTTCTCCACCTGGCCGTTTGCCTACGGGTAGGCCACCGAGGCCTTAGAGTGCCTGATGCCCCACTTCGCCAGGTATGCCTCAAATCCTCTGCCGACGAACTGCCGGCCATTATCGGTGATGACCTGTTCTGGAATCCCGAAGCGGCATATGACATTCTGCCAGAGGAACCTCTGACATTGATATTCGGTGATGGAAGCTAGCGGCTCGGCTTCTACCCACTTTGTGAAGTAGTCAATCGCCACAATGACAAACTTTCTTCCGCCGGTCGTCGTCGGAAGAGGGCCCAACAGATCTAAGCCCCATCTGGCGAAGGGTAAAGCAACCGTCATCGGGGTGTAGAAGCTTGCCGGTCGTCCGGGTACAGGGGCATATTGCTGGCATACTGCGCATTTCCGAGTATGATTGAAGCAATCCTGCTGGATGGTCGGCCAGTAATACCCCTGCAAGATGATTTTTCGTGCCAAAGTACGAGGGCCTTGGTGACTGGAACAGATGCCTTCATGTATCTCCTCAATGACGGCCGCTGCCAGGCTCGGTGGGAGGCATCTCAAGTATGGCCCGCCGAACGTCTTCTTGTAGAGCTGCCCATCAATGAGCTCGAAGTTGGGGGCCCTCCTCTTTATCCATGCTGCTCGTCCGGAGCTGCCATCATCCTCAGGCTTGGGGAGCGTTCCATCCCTGAGGTAGTCAGCGATCTCCTTCGACCAATTAGGTTCGGCGATGGAGATGGCCTCTACCCGGATGACGTCCGTTGCTGGAGCCGAGAGTGTCTCCTGTCTGACGAAGCCCCTAATGTGCCGGGGGACGCTCGTCGTAGGGTCATCGGTCGGGGGATTGCCTAGCTTGGATAGTATATCAGCCTCGGCGTTCTCCACCCGTGATACCTGCTCAATTATCACTTGTTCGAACTGCGCGGTTTGTTCCTCCGCGAGCTCCTTGTAAACCTTCATCCTTTCTTCCCTGGTTTCAGCCGTCCCATTCATCTGAGTCACCACCAGCTGACTGTCCATTCTCACCTTCAGACGAGCTGCGCCGAGTGCCTTCGCACATTTCAGTCCTGCGATCAGCGCCTCGTACTCAGCCTCATTGTTGGTGACTTTGAATTCAAATTTCATGGAGTAGTAGGCCCTGAAACCCTCAGGTGAAGTGATCACTGCTCCCCCACCACAACCTTTTGCACTCGAGGCCCCGTCGGTGTACATCTCCCACCAGTTGTTGAAATCATTATCGCCCTGGAGATCGTCCTCGGTGCGCGCAGTGCATTCGGCGATGAAGTCTGCCAGCGCCTGTCCCTTGATCGTCGGTCTCGGCTTGAATTCTATGTTGTACTGGCCGATCATCAGGGACCATTTGGTTATCCTCCCGCTAGCCATGGGGTTCCGGAGGATCGTGGCGAGAGGTTGTGTCGTGTATACAGTCACCGGGTGTGCTTGGAAGTACGGAGCCAGGCGTTTGATGGATGCTATCAAGGCGAGGACCGTCTTCTCCATCAGTGTGTATCTGGTCTCCGGGCCGTTCAGTGCCTTGCTCACAAAATAGATTGGCCGCTGAACGCCTTCCGCCTCTTTGAGTAGCACCGCACTCACAGCCAAGTCCGCCACCGCCAGGTACATGTACAGCTGCTCCCCGGGGTCTGCCTTGGTGAGGACGAGCGGAGAGGAGAGGTATATCTTGAAATCTTCGAAGGCAGCCTGGCACTTCGGTGTCCACTCAAAGGGATTCGCCTTCTTCATGATCTGGAAGAAGGGAATTGCCCTGTCTGCTAGTTTTCACATGAATCGGCTCAGGGCCGCCAATCTCCCGGTGAGGCGTTGTACGTCCTTCAGATTTCTCGGGGCTTCCATATCCACTATTGCTTTCACCTTCTCTGGGTTAGGCTCGATTCCCCGCTCACTCATCATGTAGCCGAGGAACTTGCCGCCCCTGACGGCAAAAGCACATTTCTTTGGATTGAGCCTCATGCTAGCCCCCTCCATGATGG